CCTAGAGCAGGGAAGACATCCTTCTCAAGGAGTAGTCTGAATGGCCATGTCTTCCAAGTACCACAGGCTTTGTGCTCACAATGATGAACCTTATCATCTGCATCTATCCCCTTCTGGGAGCTTGTTGGAGTTGGTGTCAGGCACGGAATTTAATTGTAGCGACCATCACTGTCTGCTCAAATACTTTATGCTCCCCAATATGCCTAACACTGTATCTGACCTGCTGTCAAAATACGGGCTAGTAAAAAAGGCAATCATCTTTAGGAATAGAAGACAGTATTTCTTATTTTTTCCTACATTTCATTTATAAAGTTTAAAGTCAGTTTAAAGTCAGTTTTAGCTGACCTGATAATTGGTATGGAAAAAAATCAGTGCCAAAAAACTGAGTTGGTGTACTCAGACAGTTGTTAGATGATGAAACACAGAAGAGGAAGGGATACTTATGCTGCCCAATGAGAGCACCAGATTCTACTTTCAAATCTGTTCTTGTTGTCATCTAAAGAAGTTTAAAGGCCTTTACACAGTTTGGTACCAAGAAGAATGAACCCTCAAATACATGTGTTTAAGAGGAAGAGAAAGAGGAAAGAAAGGGCAGGCAAGTGCAACAAATGAGTAGTGAGCAAGCTATGGCATGACAAAGCAGAGAAGAATCAATGGAAGTTGACGACGTAGTTCAGTGGTAAAGCTCTTGCCTAGCATGCAGGAAGCCCTGTACTCCATCCATAGCTTTGAAAACAAAATGGCTACGGGAGAATAAGCAAATATCTACAGAAATAAAAGGGTTATGACTATGCTAAGAACTTTCAGTTGTTTCAAGGACAAGTGGATGGTAGCAGGCTAAAAATGAAAGCAATAGCCTTGGTATGATTCCAGTGTGGGACACAGCAAATATGCAAGCCTGGGGAAAGATGGGGATGACATAGAAATTTCTTGTGGAAAATTTTTTGTCGGTTGTGGGGCCTGAACTATGGGCCTGGGTGCTGTCCCTAAGCTCTTCAGCTCAAAGCTAGTGCTCTATCACTTGAGCCACGGTGCCACTTCTGGCTTTTTTCTGCTTATGTGGTGTTGAGGAATCGAACCCAGGGCCTCATGCATGAGTGGAAAGCATTCTACCACTGAGCCAACTTCCCAGCCCAGAAATTTTTTTATTACTTTCTTAGGAAGGAGTAGAGGCTTAAGCCAGAAGCTTCATAGTTTATATTGACTACATTTATGTTGAACTACATATACTGTAATCAATGTAATTTTCATCACAGTGTAGATCCAGTCATTCTAAACAAATCCTGAAGTGAGAGGAGTCATGAAATCTGAACTTAAAGTAGAAAACAAAGAAACCCATAGGTACAAATTAATAGCATACAAAATACCATTAAGAGTTATGAGGTGAAATGAAGGTGATTAGGAGGTGTTACAAGTTTGGGGACCAGGGAGATGCTATTTTATTGGAAGGTGTGTGTATCATAGAAAGCCTGAACAGAGACCAGAATGAAGTGAGAAAGAAAGCCACACAATGATCTCTAGCTGGAGACTAAAGTCAATAAGGACAGAGGCACTGGGAGGATTGGTTGGTTTGGAGAGTAAGAAGAAAGGGTGTCTACCCTGAAAACATTACAGGAAGGAATAGGAGAAACTCTAATTTCGGCACAGGCCGAAATTTTCTTAATAAAGACCCAGAAACACAGCAAATCAAAGAAAGGTTGGACAAATGGGATTGCATGAAACCACAGAGCTTCTGCATGGCAAAGGACATAGCTAGCAAGATCAATAGAAAGCCCACAAATTGGAGAAGATATTCACTAGCCATACAACAGACAAGGACCTCATATATAAAATACACTTAGAACTCAAAAAATTAAGTCCCCCAACAATAAATCCTCAAAGAAACAACTGCCCAATTAATAAGTGGCCTAGAGACTTAAAGATAAGACTTCTCTGAAGAGAAAATAACAGTCAACAGACACAACTTCTCTAGGCCATAAAAGAAATGTAAATCAAAACAACATTGAGATTCCACCTCACCCCAGTCAGAATTGCTATAATCAAGAACTCTAATAACAACAGATGCTGGAGGGATGTGGCCAAAAGGGAACCCTACTGCATTGTCGGTGGGAGTGTAAACTTGTTCTACAACTTTGGAAAGCAGTATGGAGGTTCCTCAAAAGACTCCACATAGAGCTCCCCTATCACCCAGCAATCCTACTTTTGGGCATTTACCCAAATGATCACAAACAAGGCTATACTAGAGCTATCAGCACAACTATGTTTATCACAGCATTATTTACCATAGCTAAGATATAGAACCAACCCAGATGTCCCTCAGTAGATGAATGGATCAAGAAAATGTGGTACACACACACACACACACACACACACACACACACACACACACACACACAATGGACTCCATCAGAAAGAATGACATTGCCCCTTTGTTAGGAAATGGAAAGACTTGGAAAAAATTATATTAAGTAAAGTAAGCCAGACCCAAAGAAACATAGGTCGCATGGTTTCCCTTATCTGCAATAACTGGTATATATCTAGGACAAGCAGAAAAGGTCAAAAGCTATGTACATACAACCATATAAGCTGATGCTAAGTGAAATGAACCCCAAGATAGGGACACAGGTTTTATCTTTTTTGTTGTTGTTGTTTTAATGTACTTAAAATGTACTATGTGATTTTTTGTTTCTCTTGTATGTTCTTCCCCCATGGTATAACCCCTGTTTTCACTGTATTTGATTCTGGTGCCCTGCATCTTGTATGTACATTTTTCTAATTTGGGGAGGAGAAAGGAAATCACAAAAAGCTGAAACAAGGATACAGGTTGACCCATGTAACTATGAGATATACAAGACACTATGCTGAAAATGAACTTTATAACTTCGGGGGAGGGGGAGGGAAAAGGAGAGGGAAAGGGAGGAGTTGGGGAGGTGAGGAGGGAAGGGATGGTAGGGGAAAAATAAAGGAGGGGGTAACAATGCTTGATAGGAAATATACTCATTACCTTACTCATGTAACTGTAACCCTGATGTACAGTATTTTTACAATAAAAAGTATATTAAAAAAAAGAAGGAAGGGTGTCTAGAGACGAATGAGCAAAGGGCAGCACGATAGAACATGTGATCTGAGATGATTCAAAGCTCTATCATCTTGAAGAGGAGACTCTTCATGGGAAACTATAGAAACTATAGAAAGCTCTGGGCAAGGGAACACTAAAATCAGTTTTAGATTGGCAATCATCACTCCGACTATTCTTTAGTAAGTGATGCAGGAGCCCAAGAGCCCAACAACGGAGACCAGTTGGCTACTGCAGTTGACCAGACAACAGAAAATGGTGACACAGACTGGACTAAAGTGACAGAAGGTGAGATGACAAGAAGTGGTCAAATGATATTTATGTTCTGAGGATAAAACTGGTAGAAACTGCCACTAGAGAAAGAGATGAGTCATGCAGGTTGAGTAGGTTTTTGTCCTAAGCAATTGAGTGAAAATGAGGACATCATTAATTGAAGTGGTGAATGCTACAGCAGGATTTGGTGAGGGGGAATCAGGAATTGTTTTCATACTGACTGAGATCTTATGAGATGAAGTAGAGCAGAGGCTAGGATTAGAGATGAAAATTTGAAGATCAACTGCATGTTGACAATTACTGCACATGGAGAACAGACTGGAGGGCTGTGTGCTATTGCACTATCTATATTTGAGAGGAGGATGTTGGGAACCATCTAGCAAATGAAACAGAATGCCCAGAGGGTGAAGCAAGAGGAAAATCAGCCTGTATCCTGAAGCCATGTGAAGAAACTTTTTCAAGAAGGAATGTTTTAACAGTGATGATGAATGTTACAAAGGTCATTTAAGTTGAGAGCCGAGAACATTACTAGGTTTGGTGACTTGGAAATCACTGGGAGAGTTGTGATGGTAATACTCTCCTTTGGACCAGGCTCAGGGGGAAATAAGAAGAGATGATGTGGAGACAATAATACTGATACTTTTCAAAGTTTTTTGGGGGTGCTAGGAATGGAGAAATGGGTTGCAACTATAAGAGTCTAAAGGAGTTTCTTTTTTGGTGTTGTTGGTCATGGAGCTTGAACTCAGGGCTTAAGTGCTGTCCCTGAACATTTTTGCTCAAGGCTAGTACTCTACCACTTTGAGACAGCACCACTTCCGGTTTCTGGTAGTTGACTGGAGATAAGAGTCTCATGGACTTTCCTGCCCTGCCTAGCTTTGAACTGCAATCCTCAGATAGCCACCTCCTGAGTTGCTAGGATTACAGGCATGAGCCACTAGCACCAGGCAACGAGTTCCTTTTTACTTTTAAACTATTAAAAATTTACAAGTAGAGAAAAATAGATAAATAAACCTCCACATACCTATTACCTAGTTAACAACTACTGGGATCCTGCCATTATTATTTTGTTTTAGTTTTTCCTGCTTATAGTTCATTATTTCTAACAGAAGATATAAAAAATAATCATAGCCAGGTACTGGTGGTTCACACCTGTAATCCTAGCTACTCAAGAGGCTAAGATCGGAGGACTGTGTTGAGACTCTCATCTTCAAATAACCACCAAACGGCTGGATGTGGAACTGTGGGTCAAGTGGCAGAGCACCAGCTTTAGGCAAAAATGCTTAGGAATATTGTCCAGGCTCTGAACTCAAGCCACAGAACTGAACTGGCACCCATACAAAAAGCATTACTAATGTTAGCTTAATTCAGTATAGGAAGACAATTCCATGGGAGTAATTTCTAAAATGAATCCATAAAGGGACAGAAATTCATGTTATTTCTTAGGAAAAACTCAAATTGCGTATGCATCTGTATCTGTATATGTTTATGCATATGTTCATATATATATCCTAATATGTCTATAGAGCTTCAAATTGCATAGTTGTATGGATTTTTATTATTTTCAAAAGGAACCTAAGACTTTTCATATTGAAGCAAAAAAGGGGAAAAAGAAACCTTACGACCACATGTGAATATAAAAAAAAGAAGAGAACCCAACCAATTGTACTGTGGCCGGATGGAAGAGCCCAGCTGACACAGCCCAGCTGAGTCTCAGGAAGCTTGGGGTTGACTTCTTTTACTTCAGGAAAGCCCGAACTGTAAGTATTAGTTGATTCTTTTAACAACATAAATGAGCTTTTGTTTTAGTTCAAATTTGATTATATGAACAAACTGAAACCTAATTTGTGCTGACAAGACTAATCTGATACCAACAATTCTTTGTTTTTAGAGCAAAATGCTTGAATGACAGCTCTGTCTGGATTTCAAATGAAGCTGCTTCTTTTAAAAGCTACTCTTAAGTTCTTTAGGACTTCTTAATTGATATAGTCACATTGTTTAAAATGCATTTGTATATTATTAAAAGATTTGCAGATGGACTGGAATTAATTAGCAGTTATTTTGAGACACTAAATTTTAGTTCTAAGTATAAGTGATAGTATACTTTATCTATAATTTCTTGGTTTTATTATGTTGTGTCACTTTCTCAAGTAATAGTATTTTCTTTATTATTATAATTACAGACTAATTACATTTTGTTTCAGAAATAAGAATATTAAAGGGAAATAAAGTATACATTCATTAATTCACATAACTAAAAAATTAAATTTGACATCATGAAGTTTAATATGCTACTAATAGTACTACCTTCAAAGTAATATGCTTTAAAATTTTGTTCTGTATGCAGCCATTAATGCACTATTTGAAGCATGGCCTGAATAGATTCAGTCATTATTGAGTCAAATTAAATACAGTGAAACAAAGATTGCTACCATCATCAAATCGGTAGGTATTTCAACATAGCAATGTAATGTTTATATGAAAATGCTTAAAATTGCATTCTAAAATCTTCTACTTACTTGGAGTCACTGACAAAAAAATTGGGAGTGGGAGGATGGGGTCTTTGGGAGAGGGTCTAAGTCACTGACACAACATGGCAAACTTAGGGACAGCATTTACCAAGTCACAAACACTACATACTAGAAAAATGATTGTGACCATGTCAGTATCTAGCACATGGACAATTAGTCCACTATATGAACATAGTGGTTTGTTTTTCATATTCATTGGCAAATTCTTAACATATGAAACAAGTAGTTTTTGAAATATTAATAAATGTCCATAAGAATAGTGACACTGTAATATCCCAACTGACTTTAAAGAAGATGAAAGTCAGCCACTAAGTTTAAAGCAGAATCTAACTTCTTAAATTGTTCATGAAAAGTTGAATGCTAATGATGTAATACACAGTAGTACCTAACTATGAAAACAAATGCACTACTTTTACTTTATACTGTTGAAGCTTGAGACCAAGCAAATCCAGCAAACTTTATGACTGCACTTGTATAACAATCATTTACCTATTTTACTTGTAGATTAGGGCCGAGGTAAAGGATTTCAGGATGTTCTTTCTGCTAGCAGCTTTCTGAGAACATCTTGATTATGGGTATCTGGTCTAGAAGGAAGCTTGAGAAGTTAGCTTCGAGAGGTGTACTAAAAATTCTGATGATTCATGATTCTGTAAGTTCTAGATTTATTTACTTAATGAACATACAGTATACCAAGATTCATTACTCTCCAAAGAAGCACAACTAAATGTCACAATCTCTTCTTAAAATATTAAAGTGGATAATGTTAAAGGAATCAAGTCAAAATACTACTAAACATTAATGAGGAAATAATGATCAGATGCAGTAAGGAGTAAAATTCCATGAAAAGGATCATGAGCTCTCAGTCAGATCTAAGAGTCCCAACATGGACTCTGCCATTTAAGAGCTATGTGGCAGTGGGTTCACTGACTCATGCAATGATTGTAAAGGTTATAGAAATGATGTGTTTGGCCATTTAGCTCAGAGATTCAATTCTGACTATACATTGGATGCTCCTAAGAGCTTTTAAAGGAAACCAGACTCTAAAGCCTATTCCAGACCAATTACATTGGAATATATGGGGAAGGAGCCAGACATTGATGCTTTAAAAAGCCTTCTCATATAATGGTCAGAATTCAGCACCAGTGAAGTGTCCAATTGGTGGTATCCTTGAAAATCTTCAGAGGTATGATATTTATTGACTTCCAAGATACACTGTTGTATTCTAAGAAGAATTTCCTTATAATGAGGCAACATCTGCTCTGCAATTTCTTCTTTTCTTTCTTCCCCCTTTCCTTCTCCCTTTCTCTGTCCCTCTCTCCCTTCTTGTTATTATAGCACTAGGAACTGAACTCGAAGCTCTGAACTCTACTGCTTGAACCACATACCCCCAACTCCTTTTTCTGTTATTTTCTTTCTAGGGTCTCACTTTATGCCCAAGTTGGTCTAGAATGTGGCTTGTATTTGTGCTTCCCCATGGCACAGTCACTGTGCCCAGCCATTGTGTGTTTCCCTATAGCTGGAATAATAAGCTCGCACCAGTGTCATTGGCTGATCTAGCCTCATGAACTGCTTTTTGCCCAGGCTGACCTCGAGCTGCAATGCTCCAATCTCTGCCTCCCAAGCAGTTAGAATTACAGCCTTCAGCCACCACACCTAGCTCTTGTGAAGTGTTCCCGTGTAGGATAAGTTGCTTATTTCACCTTGCTTCTATGACATAATTTGAGCTCTTCTCCCATGTGGTCCATGGCCTTTTCACTTCTGAGGATGAGGAAACACAGCACTCCAGGGGGAGAACTCATTCCGCTTGGGATAGAACCACATCAGCAGTAACAGTGTTCATGTAAGACACTACACATCCACAAATGCAACCTAAGATGTGGTTGGTTTCTGTGGAAGCTGTGTCACACTGCTGATACAGCAAACACACATTGGTTTTTGGTAATGTAGCTGAAACATTTCTAGTACTTGTGCCTTTTAAGAGCCACATGTAGGATTTTATATATATTTCCATTAAATTCTCTCTCTCTCTCATTAAACAATACTTACTGTGCTAAAAGACAAACAAAACAGATTTGGTTCTTAATACTAAGGGGGTTTAAAATCTAGCACAGAAGGAAAAAAAGACTATTTACATATGATCTTTCTAAGCATATCAGCTACCCAAGCACTCAAAGTCACCTTACTTGTGTCTCAATGCCTTTTCACCAGTGGATAGGATGTTTCTACCTGAGTCTTAGCTTCACTGGTCTACGCAACCACTCAATACAGATTCCTCTCCTCAAACCCTTTTTTCTCTTCTTAGTAATGAAAACTGCATTGTAAGTTTCATTTTTGGCAGCCTGCCACTCTTCCTAGATTGCCCTTTCCTTTTAGGATATCAGATCACAAGAAACATGCCTGGGTGTTTGGACAGACTTTGCATAAATGTTTTCCTGTAGTTGAGATACAGAACAGATAGCCACAGTTCTTCCTTTCTACATTACTGTCCCTCTCCCCTTCTCCCTCATTGGCCTAAACTGTGGAGACAGGCTCTTACCAGGGCTGTCAGAACTTCCTCTTCACTAGCCACTTCCTCTTCCTCAGAATCCAATCCTGCCTCACTTTCTACCTGAAAGTTGTCCTATACCCAGTTTCTTCTTGATCAAATTATAGAAGGGTAGGAAGAGAAAAACAAAACAAAAAAGGCTACATTCTTCTTCTAATGTTTTTTTCATTTATAACACTAATTCAAAACATTAATTATTGTAATTAAGTTCTGCTTTGCATTATAACAACTTATTATTTATAATATATTTATTATTATTATTATTTTATTTTAATTTGTGCCAGTACCAAGGCTTGAACTCAGGGCCTCATACTCTCAACTTGGCTTTTTCCACTGATAGCTGGGTGATCTACAATTTCAGCCACACTTGCGGACCTGTTATTTTGGAAATGGAATCTTGAGGACTTTTCTGGCTGGCTTCATGCTGTGATCCTCAGATCTCAGCTGCCTGAGTAGCTATGTTTACAGGCATGAATCATTGGTGTCCACCCAGCCTCTGTTTATATAATTGCATTCAGGGTTTGAATGTATATTCCTATAAAAATATTTACTGCGAGCAAGGACTGTATTCACTTTTGTTTTCCAAACATTACTCAAGTATGAGATAATTACTAAAATGAGATTAATTAAAAGATTTTTATAGCTAATTTTGTTTTTTGGTAGCCCTGGATATAGAACCCAGGACCTTACAAAAGCTAGAGAAGCACTCGACCACTGAATTACACCTCTAGTTCCAAACCAACTTGTATTGGCTTCTTATTAATTGCCAGGATTAGGTTCCTCATACACATTTTTTCATGTTTACAAATGAGATAAAAGCCTTGGAAAAAATTAGCCTTTGATGACATAGGTTTGATTCTGAAAACCCACCTCTGTCTTTATGTTCTATCTGTTGGGAGGTCTCTGTAGGCAAACAGGGAAGTTGCTGTAAGAAAGGAATATGTTGAGATCTGCTGGAATCCTTTTTCTGTCTTCTAGCTGTTCATGACAGGTTTTCAAACAGAGTTCCTCACAGCAGTCAAATGCCCAGTTAACAAGTAGCACTGAGAACATTCTCTGCTGCCAGGAACAAGTAGAATTCATGTACAATCTTTCAGAAGGTTCTACCAAAAGTCTTAAATTATGTAACCCAGGGTATGTTTAAGTTTCAATCTGTTACTTTCAAAAATCTTGTACTGGAAATCCGGTTTCCAATCTGCATTGTCACCCCATGCTTCTAGGTCAGGAGTAGCTCTGTGGCTGCAATGCTTGTTAGGCCACTTTGTTTTCTTGAACATTGTTACAAGAGTCTGTGTAAGAGTCTGGGTGCTGGCTCTCATAGTCTGTTAAATAATAATTGCATGTTCCTGTAGGCAAATGATTTTAATATCCTATACCTGGTGTTCAGCAGAGAAGGAAGAAGTTAAAAGAAGCTATGGAATGAGAGATCGCCACAAGTTTATCTGTCATACACAATGTGGCAACATATACCACAATAAATGAATGCCATATGTGAGGGAAACTCGTGCTCATTTTAAAAAATATGAGCTGCCATTTCTCTTTACCTCCCATTCTTGCCTGTAACAACCTCCCTAAGAAAGTTCAATTATTTTCATATAACAAATGAAACCAATCTCCAAAACATGCCATAGACCTAGGAAAGTTAGACTAAGATATTCTCCTAGATCCTACTGTATTTGCTGAAGGTTTTGTGATACGGTAATACTACTGAATATATGGTGTACATGTCCAAATGTGGAAAGTAGGATAAAAGTAAAAAAGTGTATCACAATGTCGGAAAAGCTGTTATTAACAAATGACTCAATAGATGGCATTCTGTTGTAGAAAAAAAAATCTGAAGACATAAGGACTACCACAAGGAAGATGTCATTTCGTATCCCTTTTTGATCAGCACAGAAGACAGAGTGAGAAGTTACAGTGTAACAATGACAACTACTTCAGCTGGAAGCTGGCCTTGCTCCTCCCACAGAGTGCACTTTCAAACTAATTACAGTGACCAAGACTCAAGAAACTTCTCAGGAATGCCAAATGATACTGATACTAGCTGTCCCATGGATGAGAAAATATTATCTAAAGTATTAGCAACATTTTACTCTATTATCTTCATCGTGGGACTTGTTGGGAACATAATTGCCCTCTACGTATTTCTGGGTATTCACCGCAAAAGAAATTCCATTCAAATCTACCTGCTTAATGTGGCTGTTGCAGACCTTCTACTCATTTTCTGCCTCCCTTTTCGAATAATGTATCACATTAACCAAAACAAATGGACACTAGGTGTGATCATTTGCAAGGTTGTGGGAACATTATTTTATATGAACATGTATATTAGCATTATTTTGCTTGGATTCATCAGTTTGGATCGCTACATAAAAATTAATCGGTCTATACAACAACGGAGGGCAATAACAACCAAACAAAGTATTTATATTTGCTGTATAGTATGGACAGTTGCTCTTGTTGGATTTTTAACTATGATTGTTTTAACACTTAAGAAAGAAGGGCACAACTCTACAATGTGTTTCCATTACAGAGATAGGCAAAATGCAAAGGGAGAAGCAATTTTTAACTTCATTCTTGTGGTAATGTTCTGGCTGATTTTTCTACTAATAATTCTCTCATATATTAAGATTGGCAAGAATCTATTGAGAATTTCTAAAAGGAGATCAAAATTTCCAAATTCTGGCAAATATGCCACTACTGCACGGAATTCATTTATTGTTCTGATAATTTTTACTCTATGTTTTGTTCCCTATCATGCCTTTCGATTTATCTACATTTCTTCACAGATAAATGCATCATCTTGCTACTGGAAAGAAATTGTTCATAAAACCAATGAGATCATCCTGGTTCTTTCATCTTTCAATAGTTGCTTGGATCCAGTCATGTATTTTCTGATGTCCAGTAATATTCGCAAAATAATGTGTCAACTTCTTTTCAGAAGATTTCAAGGTGAAGCAAGCAGAAGTGAAAGCACTTCAGAGTTTAAACCAGGCTATTCCTTGCATGATACATCTGTGGTAGCTAAAATGCAGTACAACTGTAGAAGCACCTGAGGCCAGCATAGTAAAAAAGAAATATACAATCCTGCATCTTCATCCCTCAAAGATCTAAAATGTGATGAAATAAGACGTTGAATGTATGAAATTCACATCTCCTCAAAGCTGCTTATATATATGATATTTTTTTTGCTTCAATGCAAAAAAAGTTCAAGGCAAAGAGAAGCTTACACTCATCACTAGATTTAAAATCTGAATGTAACAATCTCAAAATATATTGGTAAGCTAACACTTTAACACGAATTATGAAGTTAAATGAAATTTCTGGCTTTAACAACAAGATTAAAGTTAGTGTCAATGTTTCTCAGTCACTAAAAGTAGTTACTAAAAGCAACCACTTAGTACTAATTTTAAAGTATGTTTAAAAATAAAGTGAATTGAGAATTGATTTGAAATGTCAAAAAAGGTATCTAGACCAGGCTCCGGTAGCTCACTCCTCTAATTCTAGATATTTAGGAGGCTGAGATCGAGGATGAAGGTTTGAAGCCAGCATGGGCAGGAAAGTCTGTGTGATTCTTATCTCCAATTAGGTACCAAAAAAGCCAGAAGTGGAGCTGTGGCACAAGTGGTAGACAGCTAGACTTGAAGGGGAAAAAAAGGTCAGGGACAGTGTCCAGGCTCTGAATTCAAGCCCCAGAACTGGCATGCACACAAAAAGTATTTATGTTCATTTGTCATTTAAAAAGCTTGTATAATTTGCTACTGTATTCATTTGTCTAAATCTCTATTAACAGATAAAATAATAAAATTCTAATAAAAATGATATTACCCAGCATTTAAATACTGTACAGTAAAAATTAAACATAGAAACTAAATTTGCGCCTACCAGCTGGGTGTGGATGGCTCAGACTGGCACAAACAACAAAAACAACAACAAAAACCCTTGTGGCCTTACTTAAAACAGACTTATAAACAATTCAGTCACCTCAGCTACATGTTGAAAAAGCAAAATAAAAAAATGTGCATACCTTGTGATTCAGCTCAGTTAGAAAATTTCTTCTAACTGAAGTTGTGCTACTTTCTAAGAAATTGTTATTTTTTTGTTATAATTTTAAACAAATTTTTGTTATACATTTATTTTAATCACTTTTGCCTGACAATTTTAACAAATGAAATTCAGCACTTGTTTGTATGATTATAAATAACAAAATGTTGATTACATTACAGGTGAAAAATTTTTATTTCTACAAGCCTCTTTTCTAATATACAGTTTTAATGGTTAACTTATATGGTATCAATTATTAGTTTTAAGGAACATTAATATAAATATGAATATACTCATAACTCTAAAAGTGATCTCATTACATTAAATGAGATGATCTTGGCTGGGTGTTGGTGGCTCATGCCTGTAATCCTAGCTACTCAGGAGGCTGAGACTTGAGAATCACAATTTGAGGCCAGCTCAGTCAGAAAATTCTGTGAGATTCATCTCTAATTAACCACAAAAAGCTGGAAGTGGAGCTGTAGCTCAAAGTGGCAAAAGCACCAGCCTTAAGCAAAATAGCTCAAGGAGAGTGCCCAGGCCTTGAGTTCAAGCCCCAGGACTGGTTTGAGTGTACAGGTAGACAGCAGACACACACACACACACACACACACACACACACACACACACACACACAAAGATCTTTATAAAGCCCTGCATAATAGCACTCCTCAAAAATGTTAAGTGTGCTCAATAATTCTTGTCATAATATTTGCAATAAATTTTGGCAAAAATTAATCTACCTGTGGTCTCATATTGAAGCATGGACAGAAAGTTCACTTAGAAAATGCCTTTAAAATAGGGCTGGGAAGGTGGCTCAGTGGTAGAGAGCTTGCCTTGCATGCATGAGGCCCTGGGTTCCATTCCTCAGCACCACATAAGCAGAAAAAAAAAGCCAGAAGTGGCGCTGTGGCTCAAGTGGCAGAGTGCTAGCCTTGAGCTGAAGAGCTGAGGGACAGTGCCCAGGCCCAGAGTTCAGGCCGTATGACCGGACCGCCCCCCCTCCGCACCACCAAAAAAAAAAAAAAGAAAGAAAATGCCTTTAAAATAAACTGAATTCTGAGATTATTTCTAAATATTTAGAAAAATATGCTAGAGACTCAGGAAATTTAGGACTATTTATTACACATGATCTTTTCTTTCTTTCTTTCTTTCTTTTTTTTTTTTTACTGAACACTGGTGTATGCAAATAGGAAACACTGTTCATACCCTTCCTAATCCAAGATTTGGTTCTAAAAGCATACAGAAGAGAATTTAGAAGTATGTACATATCCTCACCTAGCAAAAGACCTTCAGAACAATTTCTAAATACAATCTCACATAAGACAAAGCCAAAAGGGCAAGCATGCGAGACAGCAGTATTCAGTAGAATGTTGCAGCAAACTCTGGAGAGGGATTCTGCGCAAAACCTGGTTGGAAGATAGTTTAATTTATATGATTCTATAAAAGGTTTTATTTTCAACTTAAAAAATGGATCAGTCTAGATTAGTCCTGCTGATATAAAAGTAGAACTAATATGATTAGCACCACGTTAAGAAAAACTATTGAAAACTATCCACAAGAGAAAAAGAACATGAAATATTTTTCTGAACAGGCAACCTGGATGCTGCAGAAACTTATTAATGAGTTAATTATTTTTAAGCAATTTGAAATACAAATTGAGCATCCCTAATCCGAAAATCTGGACTCCAAAATGCTTGAAAAAAAATGTAATGTTTTCAAGTTTCAGACTTGTGGCTTAGGGATGTTCAATCTGTAGAGCCCATGCAGATATTCCCAAATCAGAAAAATTCCAAATCTAAAATATTTTATTCTAAGTACTGAAAACTTAATCTGATCAGAAAAACTGATGCTACCAGATACAAAAATATATTCTTATCTTTCAAGAGGAAAACATGGGAGAGTAGACATGAGAGAAATGATCAGGAAAACAGAATATGCATCTCTAAGGATATGTCATGTGAATGACTCAGAACAGTGGGGCCAGGAAGAGGATATGTCATGTGAATGACTCAGAATAGTGGGGCCAGGAACAAGCCAGGGGGAGACCTAAGGTGTCATTAGTCATGATGTGCTAGACTTTTTCAAAGGTGAAGTAAAGTGTAGTTTTGAAAAGCTTCCTGGGGGACTCCAAGACAATCTCCTCCCTGAGAAAGTATCACAGCAAATAGAGGAAACATCACACACACACACAAAAACAACAGGAAGGAACGATGGGTTAATAAGTAATGCTGTGCCTACTTAAGATAAAAAACCAATGTATAGCTTCATTTTGCATCACACCAAAACAATTGTAAGTGTATTTAAAAGCTCAGTGTGAGCAAAGAGACAATGAAAAGGTCTAGAAACAGGTAGGTGCCTGTCTTGTGTAGATGGGAAAGTTTTCTCCTAGTAAAATAACAGACTATCAGGAAAAGTCCATAGATAAGACTTGTAAATTTAGTCAAAGCCAGAAACTAAAATAGAAGCAAAAGCATAAAGCAAGAAAAATATTCACAATAGATATGACACTTGGTAGAAAACCTTTTATGTCAGGCAGCAATGAAGACTATAAATGCGTCAAGCGGCTTGTATTTTTGACTGCAAGAAAGCACTTGGAAGTTTGTCTATCTGGACTACATCAACTCAAGTGAGAGAGAAACTATGGTATGCTCTCAAGTTAGCTCTGCAGTGTCTTTTGTCATAGTTGAGCGGTTGATGGAATGGCTCAGCTGTTTGGGGATGAAAGACTTGTTAGACTGGTTGGGTGGTGGTTAGCAGTGAGCGTGGAGCAGACAAGAAGGCACAAGGTTTGTCCTAAACTTCTGTTCTCTTATTTCCTCTTTCAAGTTCATGTGCAACAGAATAAGAAGTAAGAATTTATTTGCTTTTCACTGTGCTAAGTGCTTCATGCACCTCATTTAATCCTCACTGTCCTGTGGTATAAGCAGTAGCTGGATTTGCTATTGAAGGAATGCAAGCTGGTGAGCTTCTATTCCATAGACATTGTCTCTGCTAAGAAAATGCTTTTTACTTGTGTTTCATTCCATCCAAGCAAAATGGTGATTGCTGAGATGTCTTTTGTAAACATAAGGTGCCATTAATATGTATTTGGGGAAAATGTTTTGCTTATGAGTTATCCAAATTGTATGATGTCAATTAATCCAAGAACATAATGTGTATGTATAGAAATAGCACAATGAAACATCTTTATACAATTAATATATGTTAAAAAAAATCTACAAATTGCCAAGACATTTATATCCTCTGAAAGCCTTCTCTGGAACATGAATAATAATTGAGCACAAATGCATATGGGTATAATAGAAGAAAAAAGTGAAATCAAACATCTTACTCTAATTAGTTTTGCTCCTAGACCATGAAATGCATAAAGAACCATCATAAGATGAGCTCTGGAAAAAGTTTCCAATTATTGTTTGTATACAGATGTTGATGCATAAAATATCTTGCTTTAATAAGCCATAAAAGTTATTTCAAAAGCAACAGCATGGAAATCTCATGCAAACATTTTTTTGAAGAAATAAAATATTTCAAAAGCTACAGAAAAAGAGAAAAACTCCACAAATTAACAGGCAGTTAAGCACCTATCATCCCAAATCGAATAGATACTAATATAAAGTTTGGCTTTACTTAAAAGTTCTCATCCCCCATGTACTCAACCCAAAGTTTACCTCCTAATACCCCCTCACTTCCTAAACTGGCATGTATACTTTTGTACGTGTGTAAATGTACTTTGTTTTAAAAATTTATACTTGTATCTTATTCTATTCCTTTGCAACTTTTTTTTCTTTTCCTTTTTTTTTGGTTGGTTGTGGGGCTTGAACTCAGAACCTAGGCATTGTCCTTGAGCTCTTTTGCTCAAGGCTAGTGCTCTATCATTTTGAGCTACGGCTCTACTTCTGGTTTTCTGGTGGCTAGTTGAGAATAAGAGTCTCATGGACTTTCCTGCTAGCTAGCTTTGAACTACAATCCTCAGATCTCAGCCTCCTTAATAGCTAGGATTACAGGTGTGAGTCATCATCAGTGTCCAGTTGCAACTTTATTTTCTCAAATTACATTTATCTATGTTGCTAAGTGGCAGCCTTATTCATTCATTTTCACTGCTGTAGTGTTTCTTAATTTCCCCTACTAGTGGATAGTTAGGTTGTTTCCACTTTTGACACTATTAGAAACTACAATCAAGTGACATTTGTCTGTATACCCTGGACCATGTGTCTCTTTGGTGTCTGCTTTGTCCAAGTGTATGCACTTCTTCAGCTTGGCTCGGTTTTGATGAATTGCTTTCCAAAGTGACTTTCCTATTTACATACTAATCCCACCACTGGGCACAAATGAGCTGTTCTTTACCCACATTCTCACTAATACTTGGTTTTTATCACACATTAATTTTTGAAAATCTGATAGGAGTGAAATGGTATTTCCTTGTGGTTTCCATTTGCACTTCCCTGATTGCTAGTAAAATGGAGCATCAGCTCTTGGGTGAACGGCCTGTTTGTATTTATACCTTTCCTTTTGCCCCCTTTCTTCCAGAATTGCC